AGTTTCTTAAATACGTTTACATACGGGCATCAAATGGGACCTAAAGAGCTGATTCATGTCCATGAAATATTCCGTAGAATGAATTCAAGAAGCAATGGCTACTTGGTTTTTCAGTGTATGTCAAAGRATTTAGCATTCACGATGAGTGTGGTGGTTCCTAGTCTATTGCTTTCTATCACTGCGATTGCTATTTGTGTAGGAGTTTTAAGATGGATTATGCTAAAGAGAACAACAATTGTTCAATGAACAAGATGGGGAGGGGGGAGGGTGAGTGGATGGATGAGGGGAGGGGAGAGGGTAGATGGATGGATAGATTAGTTAATGGATGAATACATAAATGAATGGATGGATGGGATAATTATTTAGCTACTGTATCAACAATTAGTTTAAATGTATATCTCGTCGCGCCTAACAAATAAATATCTAATTACTAATATTTTTAAATATATAATTATTAAGAGTGTAAGAAAAGAAAAGCTATTAACCCTTTCGAGCTTAAGAGCAAAACATGGTGTAATAATATATACTTGTCACGCAACATTAGGYTCTATTATGTAACAAATGTAATATGACTCTCTCTCCCCTCTCTCTACACACATTGTATCAAGTTAAGCACCAGAATAAGTATACCGAATTAATCGTCATTAAAGCAAGCAACCATAATCAAAGCCTCCACTAAATATCATGACACATGGTACTTTGCTTTGTTGGACTGTTTAAGGGGATGAAAATTTGTGAACCTAACCGTCCGAATCAACGGCTCCTTTAGTCTCCCTCGCATCCGTTTTTAGTGTCGGGAGACTACGGCTCCTTTGGATGCAAAAACGTAGGAGGATTTGGGGAAAGGGAAGTGGTAAAGTCAAAAATTCGTGAGTGATGAGCTTCCATTTTCTCTAAGTCGATCGGGTTTTCATTTTTCATACTCTTCTTTGCTGGGCACTTTACGTCCACCTCACATGTCAGTGACGTGTGTGTGCGTGTAGAGCAAACACTATTTGTTAAGAGTGGAAGCTGATATGTCGTGTCAAGATATTATTACTAGTCAGCTCCAAGGATGACTTTATAGGTAGAAAACAAGACGTCTGGCTTCAAGAGATGGCGAACAAAACATTCATGCTTAACAAAAATACGAATTTATGAATATTAGATTGTAAATATGAGGGCTTTTAAACTGTTAACGGTCGTATTTGGGTCGTTACTGCTCTTTGAAGGTAAGATCTTGAACCTATTTTGAATTTATAGGTTTGAAATAATAGAAGATCTGTTGAGACGTCTTCTCGGGGAATTTATGGCTATTTTCAAACGATTCAGAGGCAGGAAAAGCATGGTTCTCGTTCTAACTTCTGTTTTTTTAAACCAACAAGCATTTTGAGGGAAGCATTTTCGCGATGAAGATCAGATTCATAAATGCTTGGACTTCAAATCATCTTAGCCTCCAAAACCTTCAATACTCTTAATAATAAACATCTAGTCTGGGCTGATCGGCTAACTCACAGATTGAATCGAAATTTAGTGTGTTCGGTTTAGAAGATCGGAGAATCCAGAGAAAACCCCTTCGACACCCTAAATGTAAATGCTTTTTGTCAGTTTGTTTTGATGTAAATATCATGTCACGCAAACTGGGAGAAAAGACGCAAGAAAACGAAAAATAATCTTCTTAATTTATAACAACGAAAGAATCGAAGTTGTAAAATGCATAAACTTAAGAATGGCGGTTTTTAATTAAAGTTGATAAAGTTAAAATATAATTAGCAATGCGTCAGGACAAAGGAATCCAGTTTATAGCTCGAACAGCTTTCGTTTCTGCATACTGAAACTCGGTGCATTCACGTTAAAGTTTCAATCCATCAATCCTTTTTTTTTTCAAGTTTTCTCCTTATCGAATTGGAATTATTATTTCTTAAACTAAAGCTATTTTTCATCGTGAAAATAAGGTCATGCAAATGTCGATTTAAACTGAATGTCGCGGAAAAGGAATCTTTATTATGCTTTTATAAAATGGCATTGAAGCGCGCGATGCAAGTGACATATTGACAATGTTAAACCAACAGAAGTGAATAATTTGACGTCTTTTTTGTTAGCTTAAGATGTTAAGGGATTATATAAATTGTTCAGCTTATCAGTTTGAAGGTTTGATCTGTGAGTTCTAACTAGCTAGATCAGCCCGGAGGTTGTTTCAGGGCTGGATATGTGAGTTAGCTATGCCCTGACTTAGATCAGCCCAGAGGTTGTTTCAGGGTTTGATCTGTGAGTTAGCCATACCTTGACTTAGATCAGTCCAGAGGTCGTTTCAGGGTTTGATCTGTGAGTTAGTCATGCCCTGACTTAGATCAGTCCAGAGGTTGTTTCAGGGTTTGATCTGTGAGTTAGTCA